CCTCCTCCTCCTCCTCCTCCTCCTCCTCCTCCTCCTCCTCCTCCTCTTCTTCTTCTTCTCCTTCTCTTCCTCCTCCTCCTCCTCCTTTTGTATGCTGCCCAGAGTCACATCTGAGCTGGGTGGCCATACAAAATCCATCCATCCATCCATCCATTCATCTCTTAATTACAAGGTGCCCAAAGAGGAGGGTGATTGAAGAATGCAAGTCTCCTTTGGTGTTTCACTGTAGCCCCACCTTTCCAGGCATCAGCAGCCTCCCTGGCTTGGCACAGTTCCATCCAATCCCACAGGAATTCCTCCCAGGAGCCTTTTTTCAGATTGTGGGGGAGTTGCATTGTGAAGCGGCAGGGACACAGCTGGCTTGTGCAGCTGTGGCAGCTGTTGTTAGGTCTGTTGGCTCTTCAGATTGATCCATGCCTCCAAGCCAAGGCAGACGAAGAGCCACCACTTCCGGTCCAGACTAGGAGAGATGGCAGTTGAAGGAGGGGCAAGTCCTGACCAATAGCTAAACTCATGGATCTGTCCGTCACTCCAAAGGAATTATGGCAATGCTGTGATTGGCAGACAGTTTCCCCACTGGTGATGCTGAGGGGAAGGGGAGCTGCATTGCATTTCTTTCATTGCATTGCAAATGAAGACACCAGATTATCGTTCTAAGCCACCACAATGGCCTTTGGGTTTGACAATGGGGACAGCAAAATCTAGGCCAGTTTTGTTTTCTGATGGCTCACAGACAGGAGCAGGGCACTCAAGCTGAGTCAGGAGGAAGAACCCCCAGAGATGTTGGGCTACTGTTCCATTGCTGAGTTGAGGTGGACACCCCCCATCTTTGATTGGGCAGGAAAGAACATGAAATCTGCCATTCACCAGCAATTCCTATCCACCTCTATTGCCTCTATTCTGGTCACTGCCAGCCATCGGATCTCCCTACAAGGTCATGCAGATTTTATGCTACTTGCAGCTGTCGTTAGACAATTTGGGAATGAGGAAGAAAATTCTACTTCAATACCACTACACCAAAGGACGGCTTATGGTTGTTTCACTAATGGGCTGGTGATAAGATGAAGGCAACATTGAGGATCCTATCCCCGCTAGCAACTTACGGCATCTTCCTGAGTCATCCAACCACAGATGTTGCAAAATTACAGTAGTGAGAAGAGGCTTTGAATCACTTCAGCAGTGGTGGGATGATGCTATGAAGGCACAGTAAGTCACTAGTGGACAAACTGATACAAGTAGCTGTTGTCAAGGAATGATTATGTCATGGCTGGGTGCAAGTTGGGACGCGGCCTATGTCCATGCTGGGTGGGAATCCTGGGAATTGTATTCTCCGTAAGTCTGGAAGACATAGGACTGGGGAAGACTACTTTTGATGGCTTCAGTGACTATTACAATTGGAGGAGGAATAGGTTGCTTCCATGAGCTATCAGCCAAATCCCTGCATGGTCTCAGATGTTTTGGATTACCCTTAAATTGGAAATGGGGCTTTTTAGGGGTATCCACAGAGTAGGTGGGTGTTAAAATACTCAAGATGGTAGTTTCGGCCATGTGATCAAAGCCTGGCCCCTAATTATATGGATGTTCAAAGGGTGAGGCTTTAATAATATAGTTGCAACCACTATCTTGATTCCACCCCCTGGGAACAGCCCTGGGAACTACTGACTTATCTATCTATCTATCTATCTATCTATCTATCTATCTATCTATCTATCTATCTATCTATCTACCTACCTACCTACCTACCTATCT